TCTTTTGACCCCCCTGCAGCGAAAGTCAGAGTCGCTTGTGGTGAAAATGCACATCACATCGACAAGTGTTTTACACTTTGTACTCGGTGCTCCTGAGGTTGTCAATGGGAAATCGGAGCGTAACTCTTGGGAACAAAAGGGCCGCGTTCCTCATTCAGGGTTCATCAGCACTCCTGTAGGTTTCCGGAGGCATCTGGCGACCTGCAGGGACCTCCGGGATCTCTAGAAGCTTCCAGTCGTTCTCGTCGTTATTCCCAACCATCCTGTGGTGTTGGGTCCTCGTTTTGAAGAGACAGCGCCCCGCGTCCACTCCTCCCGCTGCCCCCTTCCTCCTCTTCATCCCTGCGTTTCACCGCACCGCTTCGGTGGCCCCATAGGGAGCTCCACCGAAGGCTCCACAGGGTTCGCATGGCGGCCTCGGGCCATTTCGGGCCCCACACATGAGCTCCACCGAAGGCGGTTCGCATGGCGGCCTCGGGCCATTTCGGCACACCCCTCACGAGGATCGTGGCCCCATAGGAGCTCCACCGAAGGCGCCAGTGGCAGGGTTCGCATGGCGGCCTCGGGCCATTTCGGCACACCCCTCACGAGGATCGTGGCCCCATAGGGAGCTCCACCGAAGGCTCCAGTGGCAGGGTTCGCATGGCGGCCTCGGGCCATTTCGGCACACCCCTCACGAGGATCGTGGCCCCATAGGGAGCTCCACCGAAGGCGCCAGTGGCAGGGTTCGCATGGCGGCCTCGGGCCATTTCGGCACACCCCTCACGAGGATCGTGGCCCCATAGGGAGCTCCACCGAAGGCCCAGTGGCAGGGTTCGCATGGCGGCCTCGGGCCATTTCGGCACACCCCAGTGGCACGAGGATCGTGGCCCCATAGGGAGCTCCACCGAAGGCTCCAGTGGGCGGGTCGCATGGCGGCCTCGGGCCATTTCGGCACACCCCTCACGAGGATCGTGGCCCCATAGGGAGCTCCACCGAAGGCGCCAGTGGCAGGGTTCGCATGGCGGCCTCGGGCCATTTCGGCACACCCCTCACGAGGATCGTGGCCCCATAGGGAGCTCCACCGAAGGCTCCAGTGGCAGGGTTCGCATGGCGGCCTCGGGCCATTTCGGCACACCCCTCACGAGGATCGTGGCCCCATAGGGAGCCCCGCCGAAGGCGCCAGTGGCAGGTTCGCATGGCGGCCTCGGGCCATTTCGGCACACTCCTCACGAGGATCGTGGCCACATAGGGAGCTCCACCGAAGGCCCCAGAGGCAGGGTTCGCATGGCGGCCTCGGGCCATTTCGGCACACCCCTCACGAGGATCGTGGCCCCATAGGGAGCTCCACGAAGGCGCCAGTGGCAGGGTTCGCATGGCGGCCTCGGGCCATTTCGGCACACCCCTCACGAGGATCGTGGCCCCATAGGGAGCTCCACCGAAGGCCCCCAGTGGCAGGGTTCGCATGGCGGCCTCGGGCCATTTCGGCACACCCCTCACGAGGATCGTGGCCCCATAGGGAGCTCCACCGAAGGCGCCAGTGGCAGGGTTCGCATGGCGGCCTCGGGCCATTTCGGCACACCCCTCACGAGGATCGTGGCCCCATGGAGCTCCACCGAAGGCGCCAGTGGCAGGGTTCGCATGGCGGCCCTCGGGCCATTTCGGCACACCCCTCACGAGGATCGTGGCCCCATAGTTGCGCTGCTTCAACAACCGCGCATGGGCGTCGTACTCCGCCTTGTCGACGTGCAACGCCACCTCCTCCCTCATGGCTCTCAAGGCCTTCTCCTGCTTCTGCTCCTCGGTGAGAGGGACGCCGTCCTTGTCGTCGTCGGCGCCCGCGAAGACGGCCACGAACGTGTCCCTGAGCATGTCGGGCTCCGGCGGGAAGCCGTGGCCACATAGGGAGCGCAGGCGAAGATGGCATTCACAATTGCGGCATTCACAACTGCATATGGTTGGGTCCTTCGCCAGGATAATTCTTTTCAGTGCGAGCTCATTGGCCCGACCCTCGTTCTTGGTATCGCTCGGACGTGTGCGCTATTCTCGCAGAAGGCAATCGAGGAGCCTCCTGGATCTCCTGGCAAGAAGAGCACGCCAGAAACCGAAGAATGCACGAGGAATGGGCGCCCGAGCGATGGTAAGATTCCGGCATCTCGGGGGCTCGCCTCTGGCTTTGGAAATACCGGCCCAGAGTGAAGAAACAGTGTGTGTGTGTGTGCGCGGGAGCTCCTGACCTTCGCTGGGACCAGTTTTCGGGTGTTGCCAGAAGTACCCCTGGCCCAAGGTGCCCCCAGGATCCTCGGGCTGGCCCAGGCGGCCTCCGGGGCGCCCCTCACGAGGCCCAGAGGGGCCCCAGGGGTTCCGGAATGGAGCGAGAAGCTGGGGGCGCCTCGAGCCAGGGGGCACCTCTGGCAACACCCGAAGTGTGCCCCAGAGACTTGCTCAGGGCTCGGAGGCCGGACCCCGGACCAAGCCACGAACGCGGAAGCCCTGGGGGTGGAGGCCGCCGCTGGCGCCCGTCGTCGCTCAAGCCGCGGCGACACGCGCCCAGGTGCGTTCGGCCGGAGGCTCGGGAGCGCCCCATAGGGGGGTTTCGGGGCTGGACAGACCCCCCAACAGTGACACGTCGATTCGTGAATTGTCCGTTGTCGGTTCTCGGGAGGGCGCCGCGGCCGTTATTTTCCAGGCTTGCGCCCGCCAGGTTTGGGCCTCAGGTCGTTTTCACTAAACCACGTTCTACTAAAGGGGTGTCTGTCCAGCCCCGAGGGGTGGTGAGGACCAGGGACCCGGGGTGCCCAGTGCTCCAACGAATTTGCTTTTGTTTGTGAACGCGGTGTGTGTCCTTCGCTTCGGTCTCTCCGGGGGCCGCCTTAGGGCGGCGGGGCTGTAAACAATCGTCCAGGTACGCAAGGCTACCCCCCAGAGAAGGGGTCGGGACTTCTGGAGCCGCGCATAACAATTATCCTGGCGAAGGACCCAACCATATGCAGTTGTGAATGCCGCAATTGTGAATGCCATCTTCGCCTGCGCTCCCTATGTGGCCACGGCTTCCCGCCGGAGCCCGACATGCTCAGGGACACGTTCGTGGCCGTCTTCGCGGGCGCCGACGACGACAAGGACGGCGTCCCTCTCACCGAGGAGCAGAAGCAGGAGAAGGCCTTGAGAGCCATGAGGGAGGAGGTGGCGTTGCACGTCGACAAGGCGGAGTACGACGCCCATGCGCGGTTGTTGAAGCAGCGCAACTATGGGGCCACGATCCTCGTGAGGGATGTGCCGCTATGGCCCGGGGCCGCCATGCGAACCCTGCCACTGGCGCCTTCGGTGGAGCTCCAGTGGGGCCACGGTCCTCGTGAGCCGAAATGGCCCGAGGCCGCCATGCGAACCCTGCCACTGGGGCCTTCGGTGGAGCTCCCCATGGGGCCACGATCCTCGTGAGGGGTGTGCCGAAATGGCCCGAGGCCGCCATGCGAACCCTGCCACTGGCGCCTTCGGTGGAGCTCCCTATGGGGCCACGATCCTCGTGAGGGGTGTGCCGAAATGGCCCGAGGCCGCCATGCGAACCCTGCCACTGGCGCCTTCGGTGGAGCTCCCTATGGGGCCACGATCCTCGTGAGGGGTGTGCCGAAATGGCCCGAGGCCGCCATGCGAACCCTGCCACTGGGGCCTTCGGTGGAGCTCCCTATGGGGCCACGATCCTCGTGAGGGGTGTGCCGAAATGGCCCGAGGCCGCCATGCGAACCCTGCCACTGGCGCCTTCAGTGGAGCTCCCTATGGGGCCACGATCCTCGTGAGGGGTGTGCCGAAATGGCCCGAGGCCGCCATGCGAACCCTGCCTCTGGGCCTTCGGTGGAGCTCCCTATGGGGCCACGATCCTCGTGAGGAGTGTGCCGAAATGGCCCGAGGCCGCCATGCGAACCCTGCCACTGGCGCCTTCGGTGGGCTCCCTATGGGGCCACGATCCTCGTGAGGGGTGTGCCGAAATGGCCCGAGGCCGCCATGCGAACCCTGCCACTGGGGCCTTCGGTGGAGCTCCCTATGGGGCCACGATCCTCGTGAGGGGTGTGCCGAAATGGCCCGAGGCCGCCATGCGAACCCTGCCACTGGCGCCTTCGGTGGAGCTCCCTATGGGGCCACGATCCTCGTGAGGGGTGTGCCGAAATGGCCCGAGGCCGCCATGCGAACCTGCCACTGGCGCCTTCGGTGGAGCTCCCTATGGGGCCACGATCCTCGTGAGGGGTGTGCCGAAATGGCCCGAGGCCGCCATGCGAACCCTGCCACTGGCGCCTTCGGTGGAGCTCCCTATGGGGCCACGATCCTCGTGAGGGGTGTGCCGAAATGGCCCGAGGCCGCCATGCGAACCCTGCCACTGGGGGCCTTCGGTGGAGCTCCCTATGGGCCACGATCCTCGTGAGGGGTGTGCCGAAATGGCCCGAGGCCGCCATGCGAACCCTGCCACTGGCGCCTTCGGCGGGGCTCCCTATGGGGCCACGATCCTCGTGAGGGGTGTGCCGAAATGGCCCGAGGCCGCCATGCGAACCCTGCCACTGGCGCCTTCGGTGGAGCTCCCTATGGGGCCACGATCCTCGTGAGGGGTGTGCCGAAATGGCCCGAGGCCGCCATGCGAACCCTGCCACTGCCTTCGGTGGAGCTCCCTATGGGGCCACGATCCGTGAGGGGTGTGCCGAAATGGCCCGAGGCCGCCATGCGAACCCTGCCAGTGGGGCCTTCGGTGGAGCTCCCTATGGGGCCACGAAGCGGTGGGTGAAACGCAGGGATGAAGAGGAGGAAGGGGGCAGCGGGAGGAGTGGACGCGGGGCGCTGTCTCTTCAAAACGAGGACCCAACACCACAGGATGGTTGGGAAAAACCAGATCAGAGGATGTGGAGGTGTGTGCGGGTATAATGCCCGGGGTCATGAGTCCCCCTGATTTCAAGGCCCCCTCCTCTTCTTCCACATGCTTCGGGCCATAATGCGCACCAGCTTCTAATCAAAAAGCGTCTTTCGTGACCACCCCAGGACGCCTTTCCCAGAACCCCCTCACTCGTCGACAAAGGTTTGCGGCTCGCGTGTTGGTTACGCGCGGTTGCGTTCCAAGAAGACGCCTTTTTCGCAGCCGCCATGATGCCAGCCAAGTTTGCGGGCGCCTTGCCACTGCTCTTCGCCAGCGTCAGTCAGGCTGTGTCCAGCGCCGATGTTCAGGAAGAGGGCTGTGATACAACGGGTTTGCTTCAACACATGACGCTGGCAACGTCTTTTGCGGAACAGGTGCCGCTGGACAGAGAAAAACGAATGCTCCAGGTGATCAAAGAAGAGTTCAAGCAGGTTAGAGGTGCAGGAAGTTTCCTCGAAAGAAACATCAAGGAAGAAAATACCCTGGCAGGTGTGTAACTCCATCGATTGGTTGGGAAACCCTTCGATTGAACCTGGCACAGTGGTTTTTGCCCGCATGGAAGACGAGCTTGGCATTCAAAAGTATTGTGATCCACAGGAAGGTTCGGCAAAGACGGATGCAACCTGCCAGGCCATCTATGCGGAGCAGCACGCACTGATCAAGCTCGCCAAGGAGTTCCCCGAAGGCCCCAATTTTGTCAATGCTTCGATCACTGATTGGGGCGCGCATGCGTCTTGGATTGCAGGCAGTGTGGGCAATGCCGAGGGCATGCCTCCAATAGCGCCCGTGCTGCAGACGAACCCAACCACTGGGTGGATGTTGTGTGACATCGTGAGGACGGTCTTGACGCAAAGTGCCAATCAGGTTGGGGCGAGTGTTTGTGGATGGGTTGCTGACTTGGGAGCTCTTTCGAGGCGAGCTCCGGCCCAAACCATAAAGATGTTGGTTCGCTTGATGTGGACAGGGCGCGTCAGCTCTAAAGCCAAGCCAGCATGCCCCTACATCTATGACCAACAGCCTGGCTTGGTACCATAACCCATGCGAGGAGGCGAATCCAGCGGCAACGCAGCTGATGGCCTTGCTGCGAGAGGCCAGCCGGTGCAACCAGCTGGTGCCACGTTTGCCTTCACGCAGTCACTCTTGCTGTCTTATGTCACGGGCCTGGGCCAGAGCTGCGACAGGGAACTCGCCGCCCTCAATTATCCTGGTAAGCCGGACGAGCTCAAGACTGAGTTCGTTGGGGGCCAGTGGAGGCATGGTGCTCTGTACGCCTGCAATACTGCCATTGACCAAGTGAAGCAGCAGTGCGCGCTTCTCACCAACCACAACATCCGGGGCAACCTCTCGATGGAGGCTTTCGAGTCCATGGCCAACTATCCCATCGATGAAGCTTCGTACCTGCCTCTCGTCAGAGCGCTCGAAGCTGCCCTGCCTGGCGGTGAGGAGAAGCTTGCAGCTGCCGCACACTCGCTGGCAGCCAAGAGCGCCTGGACGAAGAGCTTCATGAACACTTTGTGGCATGTCTTCGATGGCAGCACCTTGGCAGGAGTGATGGCTCTCAAGCAGTGGACTCACCCCAGCTTCACCGAGTCCAACTTGCGTGCCGCGTGTCAAGCCGATGTCGCCATCTTGTCTGTTGCGTCTATTAATCTCCAGCTGCCAGTCCCAGAGTCAGGCGGGACGCCAGCTGGAGTCGCTCCCACGATGGCGGCATATCCCCGCTATAAGTGGGAGGGGGATCGCTTTACATCAGAAATTGAGAAGATTGGCACTTGCGATCACCTGGTGTTCCTGGAGTCCTGCGACGAGACAACCGATGTTTACAAGATCTGGTCGTGGGGCAAATACTTTGAAATGACCAAACTTGCACTATTGGGCATTCCAGTGACAGCAGAGGGCGAAGCAAACCCAACGGGCCCATGCAACACTGGCATGATTTGTTACGCAGTCACCGCGAGCCCTTCCTTTGAAACTTTCGAGTGAGCAATCGTCTGCAAGCTCGTGCTGAGCAATAGGCTTGAAGCTCGCGCTGTCCATGAAGTCTCTGAGACAAAGCGCTCATCCCAATTTGTTTCACCTGAGTGGCTCCCCACGAACTCCGAGGCACTACGACACCTACATGTCAGTGCTATTGAACTAAACGCCCCTGACGGGGCAGACACCGCTGCCCTGTAGGTTCTCGGAGCCGAGGAGGGCCTCGACAAAGCAGCCAGGACGGCCGCAATGAGGTTTAAAGAGCCCTCAGAAAGGGCGCCAGGGCTTTGAGAGGGGCCCAAGAAGGAAGGGGACATCATGGGAGGGTGACCAAGGGCAACGGGAGTGGAACCAACAATACCACCGCTCAGTTTTTGTCCTGGAGAGGCTCCCGGGTGCTCGCTGGCCCAGACAGCTGGGGGGGGACCAGACGAGTTGCCAGGACAGCCGCAGAGAGTATCCACGTATTCCAAGCTTGGAGGAGGAGCCCGGTGAAATGCACGGGAGCTCCAGAAGAGTTGCAAGTTCCCAGTCGCCCAGTGTGCGGAGGCCCGACGATGAATTCCAGTTGGACGAACCAATCATCTTCTCTTACAGACCAACAGGCCAAAACTGGAAATCAACAGTTCCAAGAATACAAACCAGTCAACAGATCAGAACCTATACTGATATCTCAGTGCACATGATTTGTTCCGACGACGTCCTTCACACAAATGATTGCGGGTTTTTCGATGGGGTTTGCAGGAATGCGGGAACACACACGGGATACCGCAAGGGTCGGAGATGATCTTTCCAGTCAGAGAGATGAGGACGGAAAAGGGGAGGGGCGACGAGCGGGGAGAGGGCTGATGATAGGAGAAGGGGTGTGGCTCAAAGAAATAGAGTGAGGGAGGGGCGCGGAGGGAGGAGGGAGCAGAGGAGCGCGGAGGGAGGAGGGAGAAGAGAAGGAGGAGAGGCCCTGGAGCCTCTGGGGCTCATCGGAAACCAAGGGGTCGAGGCGAGGAGTCGGGGTGCCCACAGGACCATGACGGGTTTTAAATCTGTGGTTGGGGAAGACGGGTTTTCATGGCTCAAATTCTGGGTACTAATGGTTGTCATGTTTACGGGTGCGGTTATCGGTCCTTCGTATAAGAGAGTTTTTGGTGTGTAACAACAAGTTGTGTTCTCGGAAAGGGCGGGGGCCCAGGGTTCTCTTTTACATTGTAAACTGTCCCCCGTGCCGTGTTGTGGAAGGGCAGGAGGAATTATTCTTTGAGAATATCAAGGTCGGGAAGGGCCGGCGGAATTATGTTTGAGGATGTATCAGGCGAAACGCTTGTTTACAAAGTCACGATCGATAATTCACAAGGTGCGGGCCACTTCTTCGTTCGTCGTGGATGTCTCGAGCGAAACGCTTGTCCCGCAGAGTTTGCCAAGGATGTCTCCAGCGAAGCGTTTGTTTCTTTCACATGTCCTAGTCAGGCCCCAGGAGGACACAGAAGGGCCCTTTCCAGGAGTGCGAATGCGTATGCTTTTACGCATGTGCTAATATATTGGTCCTTTCTAGGGGTATTAATTATGTTTTTACGTATGTGCCTATAGATTTACCCCTCCAGGGGTGCATTTCCGTGTCCTTTCACGCATGTGCCTTTAGATTGGCTCTCTCCAGGGGTGCGAATCCGTGTGTGTATGTGTTTTTACGTATGTGCCTAAATATTGGTCCATTGTAGGGGTACGAATCCGTATGCTTTGACGTATGTGCCGCCTATAGGTTGGCCTCGATCCAGGGGGTCGATTCTCTGTGTGTGTGTGTGTTTACGTATGTGCCCATATGTTGGCCCCATCTAGGCGTGCGAATCCCTGTGTTCTACTTGTGTGCCTAAAGAGGAGCCGTGTATTTTCGCGTCTGGGCCTAAGGGTGTATCTAACATGCTGGCCCCGCGCTGGAACCGCGTGGTTTCACGTGTCCACGCCACCCAAGTGGGGTATCTAACATGGTGGTCCTGAGCTGGAGCCACGTGTTTGTATGTGTCCACGCCACCCAAAGGGGGGTATCTAACATGGTGGCCCTGAGCTGGAACCGCGTGTTTTTATGTGTCCACGCCACCCATGTGGTATCTAACATGGTGGCCCCGAGGTGGAACTACTTGTTTTCACGTGTCCACGCCACCCAAGGGGGGTATCTAACATGGTGGTCCTGAGCTGGGAACACGTGTTTGTATGTGTTCACGCCACCCACGGGGGGTATCTAACATGGTGGCCCTGAGCTGGAACCACGTGTTTGTATGTGTCCACGCCACCATGTGGTATCTAACATGGTGGCCCCGCGCTGGAACTACTTGTTTTCACGTGTCCAGGCCACCCAGGGGGTATCTAACATGGTGGCCCCGCGCTGGAGCCACGTGTCTGTACGTGTCCACGCCACCCATGGGGTCCACGCCACCCAGGGGGTATCTAACATGGTGGTCCCGCGCTGTAACCACGTGTTTTCACGTGTGCAGGACACCCAGGTGAGTATCTAACATGGTGGTCATGTGTTTTCACGTGTTCACGTTGGGCATGGCACGTCCCGCGGTGCGTGCCCGTGGCACGTCCCCTGGCACGTCGCCTGGCGCGTCCCTTGGGACGTCCCGCGGCGCGTCCTCCTGGCATGTCCCCCAGTCAATTAGCTCTGGGGCAGCTACTGTGTGTTCAGGCAGCTCGAGCTTAAGATCCAGATCAGTTCGGTCAGGACTCGGATGCAAAGGAGGATTCGATCCACAACGCCATAGAGCGGAATCGCGGCATGGCACCTTGCAATTCAGCACAGCGCAGCACAGCACAGCCATCGGCAGGGTACATTAAGATCGATACACTCAGCATTGCAACCTGGCACGTTCCCAGGCACGTTCCGTGGCGCGTCCCGTGGTCCCCTGGCACGTCCCGTGGCACGTCCATTGGCACTTTCCGTAGCGCGTCCCCTTGGCACGTCCCGCGTTGCGTCCCCATGGCATGTCCCGTGGCACGTCGCCTGGCGCGTCCCTTGGGACGTTCCGCGGCGCGTCCTCCTCGCATGTAGCTCTGGGGCAGCTGCTATGAGCTCAGGCAGCTCGAGCTTAAGATCCAGATCAGTTCGGTCAGGACGCGGATGCAAAGGAGGATTCAATCCACAACGCTATAGAGCGCAATCGCGGCATTGCACGTCGCAATTCAGCACGGCCCAGCACAGCACAGCCCTCGGAACGCGGTACATCAAGATCGATACTCTCAGCATCGAAAGTGCCCGTCGCCCAACCAGGTGCCTTTGAAAACGTTGCCATGCCGACATTTCTAAATTCCTTTCTGGGTTCGTGGGTCGATCATGTTTTTTTCAATACCGGTGACAAGCAAGTCAAACTATTCATCCAACGTATGCCAACCATTAATCGCCGCTTTTCGGGATCCCTCCAAGGCCCCGAGGGTGGGAGCAGATTTTGTCTGTTTGACGGGCGCTCGCACTCTGGCGGCGTCGTAAAAAGGGGGCTCACTGCCATTTGGAGAATCGTTCGGCACCGTCTCGGGGTGATGCTGGGGCCTCTTTGGGGCATACAGTCGGGGCGCTGAAGAAGGAACCCTGTTCGTTGGGAAGGGCTCCGCGTTCCTTAATTGTTCCACACCTCGCCTAAGGTTTCCCTTCAGTTTTCGATGGGAAGTCGAAGTTTAACTTACGAGAACAGGGCCTCGTTCCTTATTTAGGGTTCCTTAGGTCAACGCCTCGACTGTATTGGAAGCAGTGTCTGAACCACATCGGACTAGATCGCGCCGTCTCGGAGGCATCTCGCGCACTCCAAGGACCCGCGGCCGTGGGCGCAGCGCGGCGAACTTGTGAAACCACCTCCGCCCGCAGAGCTGGTGGGACCTGGACGGCCCAGTGCAGCGTTCAGAGCGCAGTCGGCGCGTGTTACCTGTATGATCATTGGAATAGTGCGCGTAGAGCGGAAGCCCGAGACGGCTGCAATCGTCAACCTCGTGGGTGTTTCACTAGTAGTCGGGGCTTGAACCCAAAAGAAGGTGGAGAGGCATCTGGAACGGCCCAAGGAAGCCCCAATGATCCGCAACATGAGCCCAGGAGTGTCGGGCCGAACGAAAGGGGGGGATAGGGAAAGTGGTTTCGGCCCCGCCGCCGGGTCCATTCCTCGATACATGGGCTCCTCCCGGCGCCGGGAGGCGCCGGGAGGCGCCGGGAAAATCAGCTACGTGAGCTGTTGTTCAAACCCCCCCTTTGCTATCCCCCCCTTTCGCCTGGCCCGAGAGGGCCCAAAGGGGCCCCCCCAAACCGGCTTGGAGGGTTCCCAGCCTGAAGCGGGTGTCGCTCTGGAACGGAAGTGGTGGCCAGAGGGCGCCCCGGCCTGGCCCACGGCCTTCGGGCAGGCGCAGTGAGTGTTCCGCGGGGGTATGAAAAGTGGGTTGGTGCGGGAGTTTGAGAGAAACAGTCTTTGCAGATCATGCGGTGGTGATCTCAGACGCCGTACCCGTTGGGGCGGCGGATCGTTTCGCTGATTCAGCCAGCCCAGCTTGCATCACTGTTGCTCTGCTTACGTGCTCGTGGCGAGCGGGAAGCAGGAGGAGGAGGATGACCATTGCAAACCCAAGACTCACCAACGGCATGTCAATAAAAGCCTTCCTGCAAGTTCCTTCTCCATAGGCCCCTGCACGGATTGATTTTCATTGAGGGAAGAGCCCCGTTGGAAGACAACCGCTTGAAAATACGGAATTGAGCCAGAACGCCATTCTTGGGACATCGACGTGACAAGTCGCCGTTCTGCTTGCGACTTTCGGTCCTCAATCGTGCCAACCCACCACTCTTGGGACCTCCACACTTCGGGTCAGCGTGACCGAGGCGCCCTGGGATTCCGACATCGTGCCGAACTGCTGTTTCTGTGACGTCAACCATCGGGCGAAAAGAACTATGCACATGCACCGATCCTGGCGAGGCCCATCCTTGACCCAGGATCGGTGCATGTGCCTTCCTGGCCAAGGTAGGAGGGCGTATGCACCGATCCTGGGCTCAGGATGGGCTTGGCCAGAACCGGTGTATGTGCATAGTTCTTGTTCCTCTAAACCAAGAGAGCCTTTGCATGTGTGCAAACTCTCAGAAAGAGTGTGCACGGCCCTCAGGGCGCCGCTCCGCGCCGCGGCCCTGCGGGCTTCGCGCGGCCGCGCGTGCCGCCTGGCGGCGATCGCGTGCCCTGTGGGGCGGCGCTCGCGGAGAGGGGCCGAAAAGAGGCTTTCTCCTCGTCGTCCTCGTCGTGTTCCTGCCCCCTCCTCCCTCCTCCATCCTTCTCCTCC